AATAGCGTTGGAGTTCTAACCAGCAACAATGAAACCCAAAAACCAACAGAGCAGCATCATTCTTAGAAAATAATTACAACCAAGGATTTAATAACCAGCTAAACTATCAAAGAAGTGTGAGAGTAGCATAAAGACAATTTTTTCTAATGTGCAAGATCTCAACCATTTTTGCCTCCCAGAAAGTGAGGGAGTAAACCAAGAAAGAGAAAAACATGGGAATCAAGTAATGGGGGCTGATATAAGAAAGAGGGAAGGAAATTCCACCATCACTGGTGATGTGAAATCTCAGAAAGACACCTGCAGCTCAGGGAGAGAGCAATCATTAGTTTCCAGAAGATATTTCTTCAAGAAGATGGAAAAAAAATAGATTCCAATATTATATTAATCTATTATGAAGGTACTTACACAATGGAGCATAATTTTAGGGGGAAGCATTTGCAAACAAAACTAAAAGAAAACAAAATATCATGCAGGAAAAAATATTCCAAGATAAATAGCATTTATGTAGTCCCAATAATGACTCAATTATGGTTAAATGATTATGGTTTAACCAAAGAAACCATATAACTGTTCTGGAAGAACAGGACACAGGGAATACAGGGCATAAGGGAATATAGTGGGGATTGAGTAATAGTGAGAGATAATTAAACCCAGATACCAATAATCTGTATTGGGAAATCAATGGATAATGTTTAAAACTTTACAAGCAAGAAGTAGCAATATAAGCCGTGTTTTTAAGACACGTGAATCATAAGAAATAGCTAAAAGAATGAACCTGGTTTGTTCTGGGGAGCAGGAATGGGGACGGTGTGGCAGGAGAGTGTTATTTGTTATGAAACGATCTATTCGCACAACTCTGTGACTTTTCCAAATATATGCATACACACATACACACACACACACAAACTTTTATAAAGACAAATACTAAATAAAAATAAAAGAACTAACATTGTAAATAAGTTGGGATAAAGGGGGCAAGAGCTGTAAAATAAAGTGGAAAACGACATAGAGTCAACAAAAATACAAACTGTTACAAAATCTATAAATTGAACATATCTCTAGTAACACTGAACAAAAAGAAATCACATGGAAAGCACACAAGTAAACAATGAGATATAACATTGCAAATAAGGAGTTTTCTAAAATTAAAAGATAAAGAGAATATAAGTAATACATTTAGAAATTCAGGTGAAATAATTTCTTTTTTAAATTGCACAATATTGAGTGGAACATATCAATTATTAAGTTGCATATGTCATGCTATTTTCTAATGTTTCTTAATGTACACTGCTTTTTTTTACTATTATAATTTTTCTTTTTTTTAATTTTACTTTAAGTTCTGGGATACATGTGCAGAACGTACAGGTTTGTTACATAGGTATACATGCACCATGGTGGTTTGCTGCACCTATCAACGCGTCATCTAGGTTTTAAGCCCTGCATGCATTAGGTATTTGTCCTAATGCTGTCCCTCCCCTTGCCTCCCACCCCCTGACAGACCCCAGTGTATGATGTTCCCCTCCCTGTGTCCATTATGTGTATTAGCTGTTAGTTTTTGTAGATATTCTTTATCGAGTTGAGGAAGATCCTCTCCATTCCTAGTTTATTGACAGTGCCTAATCATGAATGGATGTTGGACTTTGTTAAATGCTTTTCTGCATCTATTTATGTGATCACGTGTTTTTCCTTCTTTAGTTTGTTGATTTAATGCATTAAATTAATTGATTTTTCAATGTTGAACCAAACTCTCATATCTGGAATAAATCTCACTTAGTCATGGTGTATAATTCTTTTTGTACATTGTTAGACTTGATTTGCTAACATTTTCTTGAGGACTTTTGCAGCTATGTTCATGAGATATGTTGGTCTGTGGTTTTCTTTTCTTATAAAGTCTTTGTCTTTTGGTATTAAGGTAATGCTGGCCTCACAGAATGAATTAGGAAAAATTCTTTTTACTTCTGTCTGCTGAAAGAGATTATATAGAATTGATATTATTTCTTTTTTAATGTTTGGTAAAATGTAGTTGTGAACTCATCTGGGCCCAATGATTTCCATTTTGAAAGATAATTATTTATTCAATTTATTTGATAGACAATAGACATATTCATATTGCATATTTCTTCTTGTGTAAGTTTTGGCAGATTGTTTCTTTCAAAGAATTGTTCTATTTCATCTTAGTTATCAAATTTGTGGCCATAGAATTGTTCAAAGTATTCCTTTATTATCCTTTTGATGTGCATTGGAGCTATAGTGATATCCCCTCTTTCATTTCTAATATTAGAAACTTGTATCTTCTCTTTTTTTCTTAGTTAACCTCGCTAGAGACTTATCAATTTTATTGATATTTTTAAATAAAACACTTTTAGTTTCATTGATTTTTAAAATTGGTTTTCTATTTTCAGTTTTATTGATGTATTCTCTAATTCTTATTATTTCTTTTCTTCTACTTACTTTGAAGGTAATTTGCTCTTCTTTTCTTTAGTTTCCTAAGGCAAAGATTATTGATTTTCCATTATTGATTTTAAATTTTTCTTCTTTTCTTCTATATGCATTCAATGCTATAAATTTCTCTCTGTGCACTGCTTTCTCTATATTCCACAGCTTTTGGATAAGGTGTGTTTTCATTTTTATTTATTTCAAAATATTTTAAAATTTCTCTTGAGAATTCTTCTTTGATCCATGTGTTATTTAGAAGTGTGTTGTTTAATCTCTAAGTATTTGGGGATATTCTAGCTATCTTTCTGTTATTAATTTCTGGTTTAATTCTATTGTGGTCTGAGAGCAGACATTATATGATGTGTATTTTTAAAATCTGTGTTTTACGACTTAGAATGTGGTCCATTTTGGTGAATACTCTATATGAATTTGAAAATGATGTATATTCTGCTCTTGTTGGATGAAGTATTATATAAGTATCAATTAGATTCAGTAAGTTGATGTTGTTGTTAAGTTCACTTTTGACCTTACTAATTTTCTGTCTGCTGAATCTGCCCATTTCTGATAGGAGTATATTGATATCTCCAAATATAATAGTAGATTCTTGTGTTTCTCCTTGTAGTTCTATTAATTATTTTCTTATGTATTTTGGTGCTCTGTTGTTAGGTGCATACACATTACAGATTGTTATTAGTTTTAGAGAACTGATCCCTTTATCATTATGTAATACCTCTCTTTATCCCTGATAACTTTCCTCACTGTGAAATATTCTGTGTCTGAAATTAATGTAGCTAATTTTACTTTCTTTTTATTAGTGTTAGCATGGTGTATCTTTATCCATTTGTTTACTTTTAACCTATATGTGTCTTTAGATTTAAAGTGGGTTTCTTATAGACAATGTATAGTTAATTTGGGATTTTTTAATCTTCTCTGACAATCTGACTTTTAATTAATGCATTTAAGTAGTTGATGTTCAAAGTGTTTACTGACATAGTTAGATTAACATCTCTCATACTTGCTACTGATTCTATTTGCTGCCCTTTCTCTTTCTTTTTTATTTTTGACTTCCATAATTTTGCAGCCTTTTTAGGTTTTGAGCATCTTACATGATTCAATTTTCTCTCCTTTTAAAACATATAAGTTGTACTTCCTTGTCTACTTTTTTTAGTGATTGCCTTAGATTTTACAGCATTCATTTACAACTAATCCAGTTCCACTTTCAAATAACACCAAATTACTTCATGGTTATGCAAGTATTTTATAACAAAATAATCCTAATTCCTCCTTCCCATCCCTTGTATCATTGCTGTCATTCACTTCACTTATACATAAGCATACATATATATAATACACTGTTGCTGTTATTATTTCAAACTATCCATTAAGATTAGATTAATCAAGATAAGATTAAGACAAATAAAAGGTTTTCTTTTACCTCAACCTGCTTCTTCTCCGATATTCTTCCTTTTTAATATAGATCTGAGTTTCTGACCTATATCATTTTCCTTCTCTCTAACTTCTTTTAATATTTCTTTCAAGGAATGTCTACTGGTGACATTTCCCTCAATATTTGTTTGTCTAAGAATGTAATTATTTATCCTTCACTTTTGAAGGATAATTTCTCAGGGTTTAGAATTCTAGGTTGGCAGAGTTTTTTCATCTCAATAATGTAAATGTTTCACTCCACTCTTGTCTTACTTGCGCGTTTTCTGAGGAGAAATCAGATGTAATTATGATTTTTGCTCCTCTATAGGTTAGATTTTTTTTTCTCTAGTTGCTTTTAGAATTTTTTATCTTTTTTTTTTTTTGGCTGAAGGAAAATTTGTATTGTTTTAATTATTTTTATGTACAGAAAACTCAACAGTGTACATTTAACCCAGTTTAGTGGCAAATTCTTTAGCCTTTGCCTTTTCAAGCTCGGTGATGCAAGCCACAGACTTGGGACCCAGGACGTTGCCTCCCCAGTGACAGCGGATCTCATCATACCTGTCATTGTAATCGGTCCTGATAGCTTCCCCCAGCTTAGCCAAAGCACCTTTGTCTTCTGACTTAACTTGTGTAAAGGCAACAGTGGTGCAGGTCTTCCTGTGGGCTAGATGCCCCAGTCTTGCCTTCCCCTTGATAATGCAGTAAGCTGAGCTTTCTTGTTCTCCACCAAGACAGGTGGTCTCTTAGTGGGGACGTCCCCTTTGCCATCAGCTTTCTTCTCTGCCCAGGCCAACAGCCTCCGCTTCTTCTATTGCTTTGTCTCTGGTCTGTACTTGTGGGCCAGCTTAAGTAGCTGAGTAGCTGTTTGGCAGTCCAGGGCCTGGGTGAACTGGTTAATTGCAGGAGGCACTTTCAGCTGCTTATAAAGGATGGCTCTGTGCTGCTGCAACCTGATATAGCGGGGCCATTTCACAAAGCAGGTGAGGTCTCTTTTGGGCTGGACGTCCTGTCTAATGCCAAAATTCTTAGGCCTTTTCTCAAACAAGGAACTCACCCCTTTCTTGGCCTCCTGCTTCTTCATGACCATGGGGGCCAGAGCCACCTTCTTCCCCTTGGACTTCTTTCCTTTCCGCATCTTGGGTGGCAGGAGGAGAGCTTCTTTATCTTTATTTTCTGTAGTTTGAATATGATATGCCCATGTGTAGCTTGCGGGGGGCACTTACCCCATTTCGTATTCTCTGAGCTTCCTGGGTCTGTGGTTTGGTGTGACATTAAGTTGGAGAAATTTCATTATTGTTTCAAAAAACTTCTTCTGCTTCTTTCTCTCTTTCTTTTTCTTCTGATATTCCTATTATGCCCATATTACACCTCCTGCGGTTGTCCCACAGTTTTTGGATATTCTGTTCTGCTTTTTTCAGTCTTTATTCTCCTTGCTTTTCAGTTTGGGAGGCTTCTATTGAGATATCCTCAAGTTCAGATTCTTTCCTGAGCCATATCAAACCTATTAATAGGCCCATCAAAGACATTTTTTCTTCATTTTTGCTATAGTGTTTTTTATTTATATAGTATTTATTTTTGTCTCTTCCTTAGAATGTTCACGTCTTTGTTTATGTTGTCCATCTATCCTTGCATGCTGTCTACTTTATTCATTAGTACCCTTACTATATTAATCATAGTTGTTTCAAATTTCTGGTCTGATAATTTCAATTTCTCTGCCATATCTGAACATCGTTTTTTTAAATTTAAAATTATACTGGAGGTCCTTGGCAGTGCAAGAAGATATGAAAAATAAAAGTAGTGAAAAGACTGGAGGGGAAGCATCAAACTTTCCTTATCTGTACCTGACAGGTTGTCTGCAGATAAAATTAAAGAGAAGCAGCAAACTCCTTAAATTAGTAAAAATGTTTAGCAAGGCTGTTAAATACAAAATCAACATATGAAAATTAATATCATTCTTACACAACAATAATAGCCAGTCAGAAAATGGAAGAAGATGGGCAAAAAGAATCTGACAAACAGCAGTCAGATCACAAGGTACCTAGTATTAATCCCTTCAAAATACATAAAAGAATATTGAAGTGAAAAGTATATTAAAATATAATATAGAAACATACATTGAAATATATAATATAGAAGGCATAAATACATAGTGAGATATAGGTACCATTGTTCATGGACTAGTAGATTCACTATAATAACAATAACAGTTTTTCCTGAACTAATCACTTTAGTGTAATTTCAATAAAAATACTAATAGTGGTATTTTCTAGAACTTGATAAGCTTATCCTAAAGTATATTTGAAAGGTCAAAGGGCTAATAATAGCCAAGAAAAGATTGAAGAACAGTGTGAATGAATTTGCCTTATCAGAATCCAATTTACTATAAAGCTAATTACTATTAATGTAGCATAATATTGGCAGATAAATAGACAAGTAGGGTAATGGAACATAATGGATGGCTCAGTACCAGACCTATATATGTGAAATATAACATCCGTAACAGATAAATCAATGGGGAAAGAATTCAGTAAATGGTGCCGTTAACACCATTCTTAGGGCTTTGTCTCCTTCTACTTATAAATACTTTTCTTAAAAATATAATTAACTTCTCTGAATTTGACCAGTGATTTCCAAATCTGTTCCTCCACCCCAGCTCTCACCCTTGAGCTCTAGGCCTATCTATTCAATTGCTTGTTAGAGATATCCTTATGGATTTTAAAACATGCAAACTAAACCTATTGTCTTATTCTGCAGATCTCTTACTAATGTATTTGCTAACTCAGTGAAACCACCCTTTCTTTAATCTGTTAAACAAGCCAGAGTTCCCTGGAAGCCATCCTAGACCAATATTTCCCAACTGAGTTCTAGGCAAACCTAGAACTACAAATTATACCTAGTTCACACATTATATATTATGTCCAAGGATAATGGATTCCATTTGCTGGACTGGATTTTAAAATCTAATTGAGAAACCAATAGTAGGTTTGAAATTATTATGAAATAAAATATGAGTATTAGCCTCATGGGTAGGCTTATTTCCAGGTCTTGGTCCTTGTAACTGAGCCCTGTGCATCTGTGTAATGAGTTCTGATAAGGGCTCACCATCAGAAACTTGTGTTATTATCTGTTTGATTAAAAAACATGTCAATATCATGTGTGCTCTATTTTTCTGTAACTGGCTAGAAATATGATTCATCTAGTCTCTGGCAGGATATTAATATACACTATGCAAAAATAAATGTTAATTGATAAAATAAAATTTTGAACTGCTGGATTAAACAAAAATAAACAGATTTCTTCTGTCAAATTAGTTATCAGAGCTCTTATTATTCCAGTGTTCACCTAAGAAAGTGACACTGTGTTTCTCAAAACCTTGTGATGTCAGAACCCAATTTGTAAATAAAATATCTTGCTGGACTAACTTTTTAGGACTTTAGGATATGTTTTGCTTTTTCCACCTCCCTCACCCCTGAATAATCACTAATTTTTTTGAATTTATTGTTTAAATATTATGGGACTTCTCCATTTAATGGCCGCTGGCTTTGAACCTTCAGTCGCACTCCCTTTATCTCAACCCTTTCTCCACACGGTTGCCAGTGACCCTACTTACAAAACTGTGTTAGTCCCCCGCTTAAAGCCCTTCAATAGACCATCATTTCAGTATAAAGCTCGAAATTCCATAGTTTAACAAAACCACTTAATTATTAGCTCCAGTGTTCCTGCTCCTTCTCAGTGCTTTCCACCCCAGTGATAGTAAATCATCTGATGGGGTCCAAGATACACTACTCCAAAATGTGTCATCTTGTCATTCGAGAAAACAGCAGAAGCAAGAAGATCACTTTCACATTACTCTTTCCCTTCTACCCTAAAGCATAAAACCCTCATTTTAGAGGCACTTTCCTGGATTAGGCAGGGTTCTCCAGAGAAACAAGTCAATAAACAGTATATATAGAGAAAGAGAGAGATAGACAGATAAGAAGGGGATTTATTATGAGGAGTCGTTCACATAATTATGGAGGTTGTAAAGCCTCACAGTATGCTGTCTGCAAGCTGGAGAAACAGGGAGCCTGGTGGTGTCATTCAGTCTAAATGCAAAGACCTGAGAACCAGGAGGTCCAACAGTGTAATTCTCAGCCCAAGCCTGAAGACTTGAGAAACTGGGGGCCTGCTTGTGTAAATCCCAGAGTCCACACACCTGACAACCTGAATTTCTGATGACTGAGGACAGAAGATGAATGTTCCAGCTCCAGAAGAGAGAGAAAGTTTATACCTTCCTCTGCCTTTTTGTTCTCTCTGGGATCTCAACAGCTCAGATGATGCCCACTCACATTGGTGGGGGCAGATCTTCTTTACTTGATCTGTTGATTCAGATGCTAATCTCTTGTAGAAACAGCCTCATAGATCTACACATAAATAATGTGTTACCAACTATCTGGGTATTCCTTAACACAGTCAAGTTGATACCTAAAACTAACTATCACAGCTCCTTATACCCAGCGGAAAGGAATATTCTTGTCTCTGAAGACATAGGGACTTAGAAAAGAATCTGAATGAACAGATCTTGCTAAGTTTCTTCTGGTTTATTACCATTAGATCATACCCTTTTGTCCTCTAATCATATTTATCCACGACTGTTTACTTCTTCATCAAACCTTGTATAAAAATGCACAAGTTCAACTGTTACTTTATGTCATTTCTTTATTAAGGCTCCCATATCACATAAAACTTATATGAAATAAACTTGTATGCTTTTCTCTTGTTAATCTCTTTTGGTATAAGGCCCACAGCCATGAACCTAGGATGGGTAGAGAATAAGATATTTTTCTTCCCCTACATCTGTGTTCTACCTATTCATTCCTCCCTTCCTTCCCTCCTCTACTCTTACTGATGTTCTGGTTACTGTTTATTACCCAGCATTCATTTTCTCTGTACTATACTCTGCCTGCAAGTTCACACATTATATATTATGTCCAAGGATAATGGATTCCATTTGCCGGACTGGATTTTAAAATCTAATTGAGAAACCAATAATAGGTTTGAAATTATTAGCAAATGAAATAGAGTATTAGCCTCATGGGTAGGCTTATTTCCAGGTCTTGGTCCTTGTAACTGAGCCCTGTGCATCTGTGTAATGAGTTCTGATAAGGGCTTGTCATCAGAAACTTGTGTTATTCCCTGTTTAATTAAAAAACACATCAATATCATGTGTGCGCTGTTTTTCTGTAACAGGCTAGAAATGTGATTCATCTAGTCTTTGGCAAAATAGCTCTTTATCTTTATGGCTCTCTCCTTATTATAGTGAAGTCATTTGACACAAAAAATCCTAATAACTTTAATTGCATTAAAATTAAGAATTTTGTCCATCAAAAGATACCAGTAAGGAAAGTATAAAGACAAGCCGCAGAATGATAAGACGTTTGCAAAATATATAACTTACAAAAGACTTGTATCCAGAATACACAAATAACAGAAAATCAACATAAAAAAGACACAACTCAATAGAAAAATGAGCAAAGATTCAAACTACCACTTAACAGAAGAAGAAAATCAAATGGCCAATAAATAAGAAAAAGTGTTCAACACTGTTAGTAATCAGGAAAACACAGATTAAAATCCCAATGAGATATTGTGAAACCATCCTTATAAACTTTATAAAATTAATCAAGGAAAAAGAGAGAGGGAGATAAATAAACCAAGCTTGCAGCATGTTTAGCATTAATCATGAGGTCAGCTTGCTCTCTGACCTGCTTCCTCATAGTTGTTTGGTGCCTATTGTCCTAGAATCCCATAGACCCTACGGTTCCCCTTAACTGTTCCATAGATAACAACTTGAATGTTATGAAATGTTAAGTTTTCCCATTGAGGTATTTATTCAGGTCCTGCCTATTGATGAAACTACTGGCTCAGCTGATCTGAAGGACCTCACTGATGCCAGCTGATCTGAAAGACCCCACTGACACCAGCTAGTTCGAAGGATCCCACAAGGAACTGACTCAGCAAAGAATGCAGTTTCCAAATCGTGATGATTTCATCCATCTTGCTCCAACCAATCAATGACCTCAATTTTCCAGGCCCTCCTGCTCCATGATCCTCTTAGAACTCCAGCCCAGATTTCCTCAGGGAGATGGATTTGAG